CTCTAGAATTGAAAGAAATATTTAAATTTAAAGAATTTTATTTTTTTGTTGCATTATTTATGATCGCCACTGTATGTCAATTAAGTTTATTTCTTACAAAGAAAACTTTAGGATTTAAATATTTTGAAAATATTGTTCTCTTTACGATGTTAAAGAAAGACACGTATGTATTCCGCTGGTTATATAATTGCAAAACTTTTGAATCAACTTTAGGTCACCCCAAAAATATCTTTTTTATAATGTCAAGTCCAAAAAAAAAATACATTTTTTTTAGATATTTGCTTTTTGTCAAAAATGCTTGCATTGTAATAAAAGATTATAGAAACGTTCAGATAATCATGATATAAAAACCTCACTTCTTTTTTTAGCATGATTTTCTAACTTAAATTATAAAAATATTATTGATTTTTCGTTAAAATCACAATCTTTTAAAGAAAGCAATATTGTTGTAATTTATACTTTTATCCAGTTCTTATATCTGTTTTTTTTTCTTTTACCATTTTTATTAAAATAGAAAATTTATTTAAAGGTATTGAAACTATAAACGAAATTTATAAACCCTTAAGTCTGAATATTAAAAATTTTTTTATCCTCTTTGTCTTTATTGGGTCTTTAATATACTTTCAAAAATGTAAAGTAATTTAAAACCCATATATTATACTTCTATTTATATAAAACTATTGGATATTTTTTTTCAATGGATTAATCATTATTCCACAAATGCACAATTAATTTAATAAAATATTTGTGTAAAACATACTGTATGTGATCCTAATTTCGTAAGGGAGGTAATTAAAAATAATTTATTATTAAACAATTGGATGTTAAAAATCAGAACGATTTACAAAGGATGGAAAGGAAATAAAATTATTTAACAAAATATAATAAATTCAACTATTACCGCCACTCTGTAATAGGGAGGGTCTATCTAATTCAATCCTATCAAAAAATCAAAGCAAAACGAAGCATGACTTTATTACGGAATTCCCTTAAAATATCACTTAATTGTGATGGACGGATAAGCAAATTAATTGATCCCTAATGTCAGAAATGACCGAATGATTTTCGTTTCTATCCGTCAATAAGGTCCGAATTGTCAGAAAAGTCCGAAGTGACAGTTTCAACATATTCGTCAGTGCCGCAGCAACTTATTGGGTAACAATAATATAAAAAAATTATATGAATTGTTGCTTTTGATTAACATGCAGTCTCGAAGTGTTTGTTTTCTTTGTTGTTGACACAAATTTTAATTCTTTCGATAATATATGACTTGTAACACCGATCGGGGATTAGGATTTTGATAAATGCATTACATTCAAAATTGAATGAGCTAATAAGTTTTGAAATATTTGTTGATAAGATATATAAGATATGCGTGTGATTAATAAATATTCAAGATAAGAATCGATCGAAAATGAAAATCAATAAATGATTTATGCATCAGACTAAAAACGTTCTCGTACGCCAAACAAAATACATACAAACAAAAAGTTAAATAAATTGGTATTTATTCTGTATCGAATTTTCATTAAAAAAGTTTTTTTTTTTGACAGATTAATATTCTTATTTCTCTATTTCTCTAAAAGCATTTTTTTCATCAACCGGTTATTTTAAAATGTTATCATACATGAATCCTTAAAAAAGAAAGTTATCTCATTTTAAATTCATAAATTTCTCACTCCAAGCATAGCAAATAACTCAATCGATTAATTGATTTTTCTATTTTATATATATTTAATTCAATTGAATTATCACACTCGAATTTTTCGTGTCGTATTCGATAACTTTTATAACTTTTATAGACATTTGGAATATAATCAGCCGAAATGCAAAGTAATAGCGAATCTAACTTTACGATCACTTCACGCATCCCTCATGTCGATAACGTCCAAGTGTCAATGCTATACAAAATACTACAACTCATAATGATATTTTTTTCTCACGTAACGTCTGAACCTAATGTTGTTATTAATAGCGAGCATCAACAAAATAGTATTATGCAACCGATGACTTTAAGTAATGCTGTTCAAAATTTTCAGGCGTCCCCTAGTTGTTCAACCAATTATATTCAAGAGAACTATAATATGGTTAGACATTCATTCTTTTATAGACCTTGCAATGATGATCATATTTATCAAATCAACTGTGAAGAGACAACCTTTGTCTTGTTTACAAACAAATTCCGCATTTTACCATCATTTCCAATAACCACCCGTTATTAGCATTGTAGGTTATACAGAATAATTGTACATCATAAAAGGTATTTGTCACCTTCTAATGTTTAATCATGTCATAAAACTTTAGATTGTGGATCTGTTGTGAGACAAATTACGCCACTGATGGGCCTCACACCGTTTGAGTATGACAACAAAGTGGTGATGTTGTACAATATAATTTTTTTTCGATAATACCAGTGGGGGATGTGTGGAAAAAGGTATCTTTATAGTAATAAAATAAATAAAAAAAAAATTATTCTTTTTTTTTATCCTGTGGGAAAAGGATGTGAGGTATAGTTAAAGTAAACATGAATATCTTTATAGTAATAAAATAAATAAAAAAAAATTCTTTTTTTTTATATAAATTGTAAATTGTAGAAGGAAAAAAAAATTACAAAAAAGCTTTGCTTTGGTATTAAAATATTATTTTTTATTTCTCTAAAGTTTTTTTTTTCTCACAAATATAACATCCTTTTTTTCCTTTTCTTATTCAAAAATATTCATAAAATTTTCACTATAAGCAATACAAATAAACTTGTTTCTTCTGTATAAATTTAAACTTACATATATTTAATTTGATTCTCAAATTATTGTTTCGTATTAAAACTATTTCACGCGTTAACTATCCACGTCGGTTATAGATATATTCTTTAAATATTTTTGAACAATAGATTCTTACAAACGCATAAATATTTTAACATTCGGATCTAAATCAACTGTAAATGGAAAGCAATTGTCAGACTAACTTTACGATTGTTTCACAAAACGATCATATTGCTACAAGTGTCAATGCTATACAAAATACTTCAAACCATAATGATATTTTTTCTCACTTGACATCTGAACCTAATTTTGTTATTAATAGCGAGCATCAACAAAATAGTATTATGCAACCGATGACTTTAAGTAATGCTGTTCAAATTTTTCAGGAATCTCCTAGTTATTCAACCAATTATATTCAAGAGAACTTTAATATGGTTAGACATTCATTCTTTTATAGGCCTTGCAATGATGATCATATTTATCAAATCAACTGTGAAGAGACAACCTTTGAAGAAACTATTTCTCAATTAATAAATAATTATTTGAATTCATCTAATTCAAATAATTCATTTTTATTCTACTTTCAACAACCTAATGACAAAAGAATCTATCAAGTTGTATGTGAAAAGATCAATATTTATAGCAATGAAATTAAACCAAACGATATGGAATTTTCTGATAGACATAAAGAAAATCTTGAATATTACTTGAAACAATTTCTGGTTATTTATTTGGCACCAAAGGATAGTTTTGGGCAATTATATATTAATATTGGGCAAGATAGCTTTGTTGAAAATGGTAATGCTTCGCAATTTTCTATGCCTCAACAAGATAATAATAATCAGATAATTTCCTCCCAAAATGATGGTGGAAATCATATTCGAGATAATAACTCTAATAATTTAGTATAAATTTGAGATAAATAATATTCATCACATTTCCTTCTCATATATTAATTGGTTTGGTTTAAAGAGAGTTTACACTAGGTTATTTATCTTTATTTTGTATTTATTAAATAAATCTTAAATTTTTTAAAAAAAATTCCTTAATTTTATCTATATATCTTACTAAATTTTATAAATTGATTAATTCTTTAACGTTAACTTCTCAATTTTTTACTTGTTAAAACGATTAAAACGATATGCACGATATGCACAATTCGTATTTTGTAATGTACCGATCGAGTTGAGTTTTTTTTAAAAAAAAATCAAAGGTAATTCTTAGTTCATCTTACTCGGCCATTCTCATATTGTCAGAATTAAAATTGATCTGTGATGTTTGTTTTTTGATGTTACTGGACGAATGAAATGAAACGATTCGTAGACATTGCTGCGCCTTTTTGGGTATATGTAATTACAAAATAACCTTTACTCACGCTTTTCTCTCTTCTATCGATTCTTTTTAAGTTCCCCCTCCTTTCTCACCTTGCCTTATGTAAACTATGTAATGCGGCGAATTTTGAATTTAAAATGTTTATATACGTTTAAAAAGTCAACCCAGCAAATGTTCGACAATAAATTTAATTTTAAATTATAATAATTTTATAAACTTTTTTGACTTTTTCCCCTGTCAAACTTTTCGAATTTTCAATGACAAGCAAATTCATTGAACTAAGAATTGTTCTTTTTATTTTATTTTCTTTTATTATTGAAGTTAACATGATTTGTTAATACATTTTCTAAATTTCGGTTGTATTAATGAAACTAAAAAAAAATAAATTTATTCATATTAAACAAGATCTTACGAAAAGAAAAATAAGATTATCCATAATCTAATCTTTATATGAATAATGATATTTTGTTCCTTGTCATCTACGGTGGATTACCTTGGACTTTATATATTATCTTTGTTAAAAAGAGTGGTTATAAGAAAATACTTTATCCGATCATGTAAAGAAACGGTAGGACAATTATAGATCTAAAATAAATCAAAAAATTAAGAGCTAAAATTTACATCTTCAAATTCAACGAGTATCTACAACTTTGTTGGCAGTGGTCTTCAATTGATGACTTACAATATATTGGATTTAAGAATTTTTAGTAAAAAGAAACGAATTATTAAATGAAATTTTTTTTTTAAAAAAAAAAACTTAACCTTACTGAATTTTTAATACATTCTTCCGGGAGAACAAAATCTGCAACTTGAGCTATTAATTTTATAAATTATACCATCGAGAGATTTTTTAAATTCGATTCATTTTACTGAATTCTTTAAAAGAAAAAGAAGGTTTTAAAGTGTTATGCAAAAATTGTTTTTTAAAAGTAATTATTTTTTTCTTCGTAAAAAAAATTTAATTAAAAAATTCCATTACGAAATCTATGAGTTAATTCACTGACAAGAAATCTCTACAAGATATTAAACCGACAAAATAAAATCACAAATTTTACTTGACATTTTCTAAGATTTCGATAGTTCAAATCCCGTTGGTCTTGAATATAAAATCCTAAAACCTAATTTGAAACATACCGTTTATCGTTAATTTTATCTTAAAGAACTACGCTCAAACGTATATTAAAATATGCGTTATACATAATATATAAAACTTCGATGCAGAAGTATACTATAAATCTGATGGTATTACTAAAAATATCCGGCAAAGTTAGCTCATGTGGAAGAAAATTGATTTATAGCATAAAAAATTATCTTTCTCAAGATTTTTAGTAAAAAATGAAACGCGGATGCAACTTTATAAATCTTCTTGAAGTCAAGATTAGAGGTTGGAACCGGTTAATTTTTAACCGGTTAATTAACCGGTTAAGACGTTTATCTTGTTAATCGGTTAATGATTTTTTTTAACCGGTTAAAATAACTAATGTTAACTCTGGCCGAAATTTAATTTTCGGGCAGAATTAAAATTTTTTTGCAATTACAAAAATTACAAAATTTGTTAGTTTTGCCCAAATTTATAGTGCCGGCCTGAGTTAAATTTAACCGGTTAATTAACCGGGTAAAGAAATTTTTAACCGGTTATTAACCGGTTAAGGATTTTTGGGGCCTCTAGTCAAGATCATGTGATCATCTTGATTCATTATTAACTTATTATTAAACAATCAAAAAATTATTTTTTTACGGTAAATATTTAAATAAAACTTATTATAAATGGTCTGAGTATATAAATTAATTGTTGTTTTAAAGAATACATTATGATGTTAATGTCTTTTTTTAATAGATGTATTTATATTTTTAAATTCATAAAAAAAATATTATAAAATACTGTATTTGACAGTCGCGTCAAAATTTGAGCCCCCTTTGAAATATAAATTTTATAACTTAAATGTCCTTGCATTTACGTCAATTAGCAAGGAAAAATGTTAATTTAACTCGGGCCGAAAATTATAATTACAAACACTGGCCAAATTTATAGAGTTAAATTATATTTCAATTAATGAATCCTCAAAGCATAAATGGTTAAATATGCGTTATTGCTCGTTTTGGGAAGTACGCATGTCCAAAATGATTAAAACGGTTAATATTCATCGAATGACATAATAATAATAGGTTTTGATAATTGACATGCTCAACTTTCGCAAAATTAGTAACTCACCACAAGCGACATCAATAAAAAAAATGAACACGTGTATTAATTGACTAATTTTTTCCCACGAAAAAAGAGGGTCTTTTTTTTAAAAAAAAAATTCTTTGAGCAAGCCTAAATATATAAATACGTTCTTTTTAACTTCCAAGAATCCACTTTCAAGAAAAAAAAAAATGTGAAACGAAATTTTGTAACTTTTTTTATTATTTTTTTCTTTTTTTTGTCGTTTCTTTTTACGCTTTTACACTCTTTTCATTGAAATATGCAGTGATATCTCGTTATTTTCCTTATTTTCGACTAAACCTTAGGATGTTTGTAACTTTTAACTACGACTTTAGTTTTGTGTTCCTTTTTTTATTCTTTTTACGTTGTATGTACCCAACTTTTCTATTCTGTAGTGATATTTTCTGTTTAATGCGCGCTTTCACCCTACTGTGTGATGATATTCAAGTACTACCAGTCCAGTTAGTATGCTCGTTGCGATGTAAAGTGTGGATGGAGGATGGGTTGTGAATGGGAGGTGAACCCTTTGATGTAATAATTGACCAATGTTTTTTTTTCTGATATAGTAGTATCCCTTCCGTTTTTCTCAAATTTAAGATGCGGTTAAAAATATAATTATTGTGCAAATTGTGCACACAGGTAATTATTTTTTTTTGTTTGTTTTTTGAAAAAATTTCTCTTCAACTTATCTTGCTATATTTTGAAATAATATATAGTGGTTTCCGAGTCGATTAAATAAACAATTAATCATGCAGACAAGTTAAGAATAAAGTTGAAGAAAGTAAGTATGTTTTCCTTTCCTTTTCATGTAATTTAAGTTATTATGGTGATTTCTAACTATTATTCGCTTTCCTTAATACGACAAGTTCGTTGATTTGCTAAGGTCCTTATTACTTCCCTTCGTTTTCAACTTGAGTTTTTTGATCTTATATGTACACTTGGATTTAAATAGAAAGTGGTGAGGATACCTAGTATATACAGGGCCGTATCTGCTGGCAATGGGCTCCCAGTCTGTCTATTCCCTTATTGGTGTACTTAAACAAAGTGTTTATCCGGGAAATCTGACCTAGAGTTCTGGTTAGTGCTAATGAGTGGCCCGCTCGAGAAGAAAATTCCTAAATACATTTGTTTATGGTTGGTCGGTCAGCCTGGTTGCGACAGTACCTTCCATCATAGATGAGTGTGTTTAGGGCCAGAAGCTAGGTAGTTAGAGTTCCTCATTATGAGGTCTGGCGATACTAGATTTCCTTAGGTTCTTATGATCCATTTATTTAATATCCAAAGTGTTTCGTATTTGATCATAAAATTCGAGTTTGGTGGAATTACTTTTAAATCCCCCTTCCCCGATTATTTGATAGATTCTTTTTTCGATTTCTTCATAATTTAAATAATTGCGAAAATTAAAATAAATTAACTATAATTGAATACTTTAAATAAACTTATTATAAAAATTTTTTTAATTTCATATGAATCTGCGTCTTGTCAAAAGTTCATGATTATTTGAATGAAAGTAAATAACAATGTTATTTCCAACACTAGAAATTCATATGTAAACATCTCAATGATATTAAAGAATTTTTTTTTCACGCCAATCTTTATTTGTATAACGATATGATATTCTGCATTAAATTTTTGAGCTTAACCACCAAAATATCACCGGCACAAGATCTTAATTCGCTGATCATTTCCAAAAATAGGTAATACATTTTTAACGAAAAAAAAAATTTTTTTTTTTTAATGAGACTTAGTAAAGATACTATTCGAAAGAGATTTCCGACTTTCATTATGGAATATTAATAATCTTGTGGCTAATAGATAATTATAAACAAAAATAACGGGTTATTTTATTTATTTGTGTTTTTCGCTACACAAACTTTCAAACTAAGTTTCTATGCTTTATTACTTATTTTATTATTGTATTATGATGTACAGTATATGTGTGACTTTGCAGAGAGGTCATTACTATATAATTAAAACTTAATGTTGTTGATTACGCTATTACAAATTACTTCTTCTTGTTTAAATGTAGGTTCATTCACTCATCTTTGTGTAACATTCTAAGAATTAGTTTTTGAATTTCTCTATGTAGAGTAACAATTTTTTTTTTAAAAGTAAAAAAATCACCTGGGGAAGTAATCATTTTTAATCTGAAGTTATATTGAACCAAATGTTTTTTCCAATTAATTTTGGGTGTGATGAATCATTTGAAGTTTTTCATTTTAGTGATAGTTCAAAGCAGATTACATTTAAAAATGTTTTACATGCTCTAAGAGAGATTATATCTCTTGAAACAATTGTGAACTTCATATAATGGATTAAGATACTTTTATTTATGCGAATGACGTTTTCACAATTGAGTAATATATGGATGTAATTTATTATTATTATTATTATCTTTTTTTTTTTTTTTTAAAAGTGCGGTATAATTTATTATTATTATTATTATTTAATAGAGCAAGCTCCTATATTTGTTTCCCAGGAGCGTCGAATTGGTCGAATAGGGACAACCTTTTTACCTTCGGTCGAAATAATTACAGGACCGGTGTAATCATTGAATTCTACGAGTACTGCAATTGGGAGTGAAGGTGGGCCTTGCAAGCATGGATGAACAAAAGAGTTCAGATATGATTTTTCTAATGTGACTAAATTAAGTAGAGGATGATTTTGTGGACCAATCGAAAATGATTAGGGATCGGTTAATGGTCAGTCAACGGTCGGGCAGAGGCCTTTGTAAACATATGTATACTTTTCAAATTTAAACGAAAAACAGTACACAAACGTCGATCATGTCATGGCGTATACATTTCAACTCCGTGTAATTTAGCTCAATTTATATATATTTCACTGAGTCGTTGCCGAGTAAAACCACCAAAAAAAATTATCAATCGGATTGAAAATAAATAAATAAATATGATAATGGAGATTGGTTCAAAAAAGAAATATTTTTTTTGGACTACTCAGTTATGACTTGGGGTTAGAATTACATTTAAAAAGGATTATTTCAAAAAACTCGGTTGAATACAAATTTTTTGTTAATTTGAATTGATCATATAAAATCTCTTTATTATCATCCCTTCTACAAAACCCGTAAAGTAACTTTCCAAATGCAAAATCCTAGTGAACCTAACTTTGATCGTTCTTTCACGATTATTTCACATAATTCTCAAGGAGATAACGTTACAAGTGCGAATACCATGCAAAATCCTTCGACTTCTAATGATGAGATTATTTCTCGCGTGGCATTTATACCATTAAATAGCGAGCATGAACAAAATAGTAACGATTATGCGTATATTCAACCGATGACTCCAAGTCAATCTGTTCAGATGATTCAAAATTTTCAAACACCATCTATGGAATATCCTCAAGAGAGTGTTGTTGGTATGGCTAGACATTCATTCTTTTATAGTCCTTGCAATGATGATCATATTTATCATATCATTTGTGAAGAGACAGATTTTTATGAAATGGTTTCTCACTTGATTAATAATTTCTTGATTTCATCTCATTCAACTCGATCATTTATATTTTACTTTCAACAACCTAATGATAAAAAAATCTATCAAGTAACATGTGAAATGATCAATGTTTATTTCGATGAAATCGAGCCAAATGAACAGCAGCATCGCGTGGAATTTTCTAATGAACTTAAAGAAAATCTCGAATTTTATTTGAAACAAAGTTTAGTTAATTATTTGGCACCAAAAGATGGATTATAAATCTTATTAATCTACAGTATTCATCATATTTTTTTGTTAAGGAAATTATATCAAGGGTAAATATTTAGTTTATTATATTTTATATATTAATTATGAAAATCAAATGGGAAAGGGACCAAATTTTCAAGAATTTAATCCTAAATGAATTAATTAGATGGAACATTTTAAAAATTTTTTTTTTATAATTTGGTCCCTTTTCTCACATATATATATGTAATATATTTTTTAATCTACTAATTATTAAATTAGTTCAATATTTTTTTTTGCGATATATTTTGGTTTAACTAGTAAATTTTATCGAATTCTTGTTTTTTTTAACGTTGTGCGTCCTTCATTAATACTAAGCCTATGATTAGTAAGTTATATCTCGATATATATTTATTAGAATCAATTTATCAAATACGTTCTTTTCATTGATAACATGTAATCAAATTTAATGTGGTTCAAAGGGTTTTTTTTATCATTGAAAGTAGGAACATAAAAATTTCAATAAAAAATTATCATTTTGCTTTTATTATCAATTGTGTGAGTAAACGTATGGTACTTCAAGAAAAAAAAAAAAATACAATAATTATCATTTTTGTCTGCCAATAATAATTCTGGAATTAAAATTTTTTTTTTTTTTGCCCACATCACATCATTATTGATTAATAGTCAGACGTACAAAAGTGTAAATGGCGTATTTGCACCTGTATTCTTGCGAAACTTTGTTAGCATAGATTAGAGAAGGAAATTATAAGTCACGTAATCAGACACGAGAAAAAAATCCTCCGAATTATCGCGTTTTTATTTATATTTTAAAAATTAAATTTTAAAAATGATCACAAAAAATGTGTAGGTGCTTCAAGCATAATAAAACTCTTTTCGTCTCATCCTAACAGAAATTATACAAAAGGTCGTGTCATTCGCCATTCACACTTAATCATGATGTTTTAGAAGCCTTATGTCTAATTTCTTGAGTAGTGATATCAAATTTACATTCTCGCTTTCGGTTATTTATAATGTCGAGCCCTGTGGCAAAATGGTTTGTCATCTCGTAATTTGTAAAGAATTTATTGCGTAACAAAATTTCATAGAATCATAAAACTGGATAAATATACCATGTAAAAAAAAAATTAAATTATTATTGATGTTATTGATTGATCTCTTTAACGAAAGGATGACATGCCAATCGTTAAAGAAAATTGTCAAAATAATTATTAAATCCCAATAACTCAAATTTCACTAATCATAATCTTTAATGCGACGAGATGACTTCTTTTCGGATCTATGATGTTTTTCCATTTTTCTTCTATTATTTTCAGCTTTCTTTCTGCTCATTATAATTAAATTAATTAAAAAAGATTTTTAAAAAAAACTTATAGACTGTAGACTATATCTCCAGCATTTATACATACAATTGTTCAATCCTTTTCAGAGTTTCTTCGTCTGGAGCTTTTGGTATTTCAGCAGCTTTCAAAATAATCTCATATAGTTTGTCAACACAATCTTCAACATTTTTAACTTGTGAACGAGTTTTGTCCGAAGTAATCATCAATTCTCCTTTTTTATTGAGTCGCTTTGTTTCCTACATGTATAGTTGGTTATTTTATTATTTGAAGATATTAACTATAGATTATTGAATTGAACTCACTTGAATTGCTATTTTTTTCCTAGCATATTCTGGTATCCATGTTGCTTTATTTAAATTAAATCTCATATCGACCTTTGTATTGACTTACAGGTTATAAAAAAAAAATTAGTAACTTCACAAATTCAATGATTAATCTTATAGTTAGTTACCTTTGTTCACGTTTTGTCCACCAGGACCACTACTCCGTGCAAAGCTCAATACAATCAAATCTAAAAAAAGCAAATTGCTTATTTAAACTACATTTAATATAAAAATCAAGTCGGATCATAAATTAAATACCTCTTGGAATCTTTTCTTTTGTAAATCCTTTTAACCACCTTTCAGCTTGTTCTATCTCTTTTGGAGTATCTAAACTAGCTATTGTTCTTTTTACAATGTAGAATGAGGAAAGTTGTATCCATGTCCTTATTCGTGATGTTGGTAAAATTGATAAATGATAATTTCCTCCATGAGTGTTTGTTGAATAAAAACTTATTTTTGTGAGATTTGTAAAAAAAGAAAAGGAATGTTTTTGTCTTATACTTTTCGATTTTGAGAAAATAAAAAATATTCTGCAATTGCGATAGGCTAAGGAAGATAACATTTTTATTGAGAAAAAAAATTGATCGGTGTATTTTATAAAAAAAAAAAATATGCACTGTTGATCCATTGATAATCATATAAAAGGTTTATTTTTTTTTCTCCTTTTCTTTTATAAGATGAGTATTTCATCAAGCAAACAATTGATATTATCAACTTATCGACAAATATTAAAAGAAATTAATAACCAGGTACTTTTTTATATATAAAAGAATTTTCTACCGATTTTAAATAGCAATGAATACACTAAACACAAGTTTGTGATCAATTATATAAGTTCACAAATCAGAATAATAATCAATTATGGAGAAAAGAAGCAATAAGCACATTTCAACAATATCGTAATTTATCAAATAAGGAAGAAGTTGAAAAATTAACGAAAGACGCAGAGGATTTGTTATGTTTCTTGAAAAGTAACCGAAAATTCGATGTAAGAAACTATCTTTTTCAATTTTTTTTTTTAGGATATTTTTTTAAATCAAAAAAATATATATATATATTATTTATATTATTTATTTAGGAACTCTTGAAATCTTACAATCCAGTTCATGGATATTCTGAAGAAAAGCGCATTGAGTTAACGGCTAATAGAGTTGGTTTAAAATTACCAATAATGATGGATAAACAAATTAATGAAGATAAGAACCTTTATACTGAAGCGATGAGGGTAAAATCTTGTAAATAATTACAAATTATAAAATAAATCAAGAAAATTTAATATTCAATTATTAAAATAAGTATTTATAATATTGAACCTTTGACAAAGGTCCTATGTATTAAAATTTATTTCAAAAATTGAATTTTATCATCTGATTTATATATAACCTTAATTATTTTTTATAAAAAAAAAGAATTTTTTTTTTTACAATTTGACCACTTTTCTCAGCATTTATTTCATATAAAAAAAATAATTTAATTTTATAATATTTAATTTTAAATATTTAATTATTAATATTATCTCTTTTTAACTAGAGTTTTGAAAAAAAAAAATCATTATTAAAAATATCACAAAAAATTATTAAATTAAAATTCAATTAAAAAATGAAAACATATCATATCTTTCATTCTTTATTTTTACTAAGTATTTTGAAATAAAAGTTTTTAAATCAAATCCTATTTGTTACTTCTTTAAGTATAAATTGTATCTTATTTTTATTATTAATGTATTAATTACATTATATTTTATATTTTATTTAATAACAAATTTTAATATGTAATACACAAAGCCTTTAATTTTAATTTATTAAAATAAAATTAATAATTAAAAACTATATAATATTAATAAATTCAATTAATTTTATAAACTTATATATTTAATTAACTTTTTTTATAATAAAACTTTCTATAATAAAATTTTTAAAATAAACTTTATTTTTAAAGATTATTAAAGCATAAAATTTCTTTTAATAAATGATTAATCCCTTATTTAAGACTTAAATATATGATTTAAAAATTTATTTTATCATTTTTAAAGCTAAAACTAAAACTTTTAAAATGCAAACCTTTTACTATAATCTAAAAGATAATTTAAAAATATTTAAAAAAATATATAATATTAATATGTTAAAATAAACTATATGCTTTTAAAAATATCTTTAATTATAATATTTTTTTTAAAAAAATATAACATAATATTATATTTAATAAATTTAATAAATTAATTATTATAATAAATAATTAAAAAATTATTATTTTATTTTATATGTAATTTATAATATAAAATTAGTTGATTATAGCAAATAAATTTTTTATAAATAGAATAATTTGTTATAAACTTAATTTTAAATATTAAATAAAAGAAATTAATTTTATTAATTTACTAAATAACCTTTTATTTTTTTTATTTTTTTATTAAAAACTAATTTTAATATATAGGAGGTGATCAACAGAAAAGGGAGAAATCCAAATTTTGTTTAAAATTTATATGGGGCATGTTGCAATAAAACCAGTCAAAGTGAACATTGGTATTACCAAGAATTTCAGGGATCAAAATTTAGTCATTAGTAATGTGATCATAATTAATAGTTTTATAATATCTCATTTATTATCTTAAGTGATGTATAGAACTACTCCTATATAAAAATAGTTAATATGAAACTCATTTACATCAGATCTACTATGGAACCTAGGAATTATAGCACTATTAGAAGTATTCTGAAGAAAGAACAAGGTGAAAAAATTGCTCCTTATATTTTCAAAATAAATGATACTCAGACACTTGAAACTTATCTAAGAAAAGAAAGGATTACTTATGAAATTTATCATAAAGAAAGAAAAATAATAAATGTTGGAAAAAGAAAGTAGCATGGTGATGCATTATTACCTAACAAAAAGCAAAAATCTTTAAAAGGAAAATAACTATCACTTTCTTTGATAGTTGGAATTATACAGAGGGAAATACCTAAAATTACTTTCTTATTTTCAATCAAGATCATTTCTTAGTTTCTTTAATTTCAATTTGTGCAGTTAATTGACCATTCTATTGTTGTAATTGGGTTAATTGAGCTTTTAAATCATTGATTTCTTTTAATAATTCTTGTAGAGTTAATTCTTTTAGTTGTTTGTTTTCTTCTTCTAGTTGCTTAATTCGATCTAATAGTTCCTATTTCTGTCTTTTATGCCAATCTTCAGCCACTTCTAAGACTTTTAAGTGTGTATCTACTTCCTCTTCTAACTGTCTTTCCTTTTCTTGCAAGCCATTTATTTGCTGTTCGTAAAAAGTGCCATTCCTCCATTTTGATGAGATAAAAGAGGAAGTTCTTTTTCATTTTTCTCTTCTTTGCAATCACAAGTATATCTAGTCTTTAACCTTTCACAATCACATTAGGCAATTTATCATTTTCAAACTTCTCTTTACAGTTTTCACAAGCCTTATCACTTTCAACCATTTCACCAGTCACTTTGCTTCACGTTCTGATTTGACAAACTGCTTTTTTCAAACTAGAGCAGAAAACACAAGTAGAATTACTGCTGTGTCATTCTTCTAAATCTAAAATTGTGTAAAGCAGTTCTCTCATAACTACTTAACTAGAACTTCTATTTTAGCAACAATTGCTTAACTGTGAAACTTCTCTCTTTTGATTAATTTCTGCAACTGCTGAACCTTAGCTTTTGTTTTTGTTTTTAATTGCTTGAAAATGCTTTGTTTATTTAAAGTCTTACTTTCTACTTCTTTAGAAAGAGAGGGTAAGGGTTTTCTTTCCAAATATAGTTGTGTTTTTAATTCTTCTCTTTTTTTTGCTTCATCCTCAAATCTCTGATCATTCTTTCTTAACATTTCTAATTTTTGGACTAATTCTTCTTGCAACTTTGCATTCTTTGTTATTTCCTCTTCAAGCATTTTATCAGACTTTTTGGAGCATTAGTGATTTTTCTTTGATTTCATCATTCAAAAGACCTTTTTGTCAATTTTTTCATTCTTCAGCTATATCTAACGCCTCAGTAAAGTCTTTAGCATCTTTTTCCCATTTTTCAATAACTTCCATAGCAACTTCAACTGGTTTATCTTCATTTTCATTTATTAACTCTTTTAAATCTTCTTTGTGCCAATAATCTCAATCATTTTTTTCTTCTTGTTGCTCTTCCTTAAGGTAAGTATTGAGAGTTTTAGACATATTTTCTTTTAAATTTTCAACCTGTTCTTTAAAAGGAGTTAATTCAGCAACTTTTTTTCTAAAAGAGCATTCTTTTCTTCTAATTTTTCATTTTTTTGATAAATATAACTATAAGAATCACAATTAAGTAATGTTTATTCACTAAAGCATTTAACAATGTTTTCAAGAGTGAAATTGTTGCCAAAAATAACTTTTTCAACTCCATTTTCTTTTTGAATTTTTACTCACTCATCTTTGGGTCAAAAATGTTATTCTAAAGTCATTAAAGTGCCAGCAATATCTGGTCTTTCGCTTTCCTTAACATTGTCAATAGCATTTTAAATTCTTAGTTTAAAATCATTTTCTTTGTTTTCTAATTGCTTTTTTAGTATTTCTATTTCATTTAATAGTTCTTTATTTTCTTTTTGTTGTTCATTTATGATGTTTTTCATGATTTACTTGCTTGTTCCTTTTTTTATTTTATATATTTAATATACTTATATCCTTTTTGTAAGGGTACATTAAATATATAAATTATTTTAATACTTTTTTGTTTTAAAAGTGGAATATTTGTCAAAAGATTAAACTTATTAAACTTAATGACAGTGAGGGATGAATTAACAAGTGATGAAGTTATTAGAGGTAATTTTATTCTAAATATTTTATTCATTGCCAGTATAAGTTGATCTTAGGCAAGTAATATCTTTAAATTCATCTCTGACAAATGGGCGAATATTATGATAAAGATATTCTTGCCTTTTGTAGTCCAAAGGAGGTAGTGTTAACACTAAAATAGATAAAACTCTAATTTCTTCAAAAATATCTGCATTCTTGGTTTTCAATAAATTGAATTCAGCAAAAGGTTCATTGGCAATTTCCTGAGCCTTGATCACACCAAAATTAATTGCTTCAAAAAGAAAATGTTGATATTTTTGTATACTTGGTAATTTCTTAAAATAAATTCCTAAAATAGCTTTAATATCTAAGTATTGAAAGTCTTTTCCACCTTCATAACACTGAGCTTTATTCAATCCTACTAGACTAAACTTTTTTATCACCTCAATCACATGATCCTTACAATCTACTCTTATTCTTCTATAGAGTTTTTTAATTATCCCAAAATTGCCATCACATTTGAATTTGGTATGTTCTGGAACCATGAAATTTAATTCAATGCTTTCATAATAACCACAAATTACCAAATATAAATAAAACTAAATTGTTACATTGTTTTTATTTTGTTCTCCAGCATTATCACAAGTCATCTTTAAATGCTTTTCATCCTTATTCAATTTTTTAATTCCATCAAAAATCAGACTAAGTATACCATTTAGGCCTTTTCCTATAATTTCATTTTCATTAAGAACATAATTAATTTGTTTCCTTACTGCTTCATCTTGAATACCAAATAAATGAACTTTATATAGACTTAGGTAATAAATTTTACTTACTTGTTGATCTAAATGTGGCACATGAACATTTTGGACCCAATCATAACTATAATGATCAGTAGCATTAATACTGCAATATGATATTTTACCCTTGAAATAATTTTGATTAACTGATTTTCTTTGTTCTTCTGCTAATTTAGTATTTTTATTATAATAATTTCTTTCTGACTTGGCTTTGAACAAATGTTCTTTAAATCTTTTGAGTAAATCTTTAGCTTCTTCCTCTTGGCGAGCATTATAATGTAAATGATCTCTAAAATGTTGACAAGTATCACACAAATCAGTCCTGGAACTCATAATTTGAATCTCTGGTGTCAATTGATGTCATAACTTCCTAAAAGCATTATATTTTAAAGATTTCAATTTGCTATCTTCTTCTAGACCAGCCAAAAAATCTCTATGCACTGATTTATAACTCATTTCAGCTGGTAAGAATATAATTGATTGAGTTATTCTATTGATATTTCTTCCTAGACTTGGTAATCCATGAACTTCTGCATAATTTTCTAGAAAATTTTTTACTTTTTCAGCAACATTTTTATCAATTACCATTTTAGTTTTCCATTGAGGCATCCTTTTAATATTACCATGAATTCTTGGCAGAATACCATTGTTTATCAGATGATTTCTAATGTTTTCAAAATAAGTCTTACCAATTCCTAACATATTGAGGTAAGTTTCTTGACAAAGGGTGTATTGTGATCCCAATGGTAGAAAGTTCTTTTATTAGATCTAGTTTTCTTTTTAAGATGTCTACTAGTGCTTATTAATCTCCCATCCGTTGCCTTAAGTTGAGCCATTAAAAATATGTCTTGTTCAGACTTGGAAAGAGCTTGAAAGGATTCCCTTAATGCTGCAAATTCTTCCTTGAGAATTCTTGAAGAACAACCACAATTACACCCTTTTTCCAAAAAATCAATTGCTTTTTGATACTCTTTAGAACTATATTCATTATTACTTTTCATATACCCTTATCCCTATATATATATAGTTTCATAATTTTTTGTTCACTTTGTAGGTTTTTTAAAATTGAAATGGAGAGAGACTGGGGTATTCGATATTGGTTGATCAACAAATCATATTTAATATCAATAAGATAAATCCATATTCACAGATTTTTTATGGCTACCCTTTTTTCATGCAACATTAATTATTAAAATGTAAAGAAGTTTACGCAAAATTAACTTCTTGGTAGTAAAGCAAATATTAAAATAAAGGATTTCTGTTATATTTTAAACAAAGCTTTTGTATTTTTATAGTCACTAAAAACTCTCCAAGACTCTAGAATGTTGCTTATGCACTATCCTTACTATAAATTTAGAATTTGGAATCTATGTCTTTGAAAATAGTATATTCTAATATCACGGATTTTAAATTGTTAAGACTTCTGGAAAATCATTCCATTTGTGAAAACATCAAAGTCATTAGTTGCGAGGTATTCATGATACACTTCTATGGAGAGAAGATTTTTATTTTTTATAGTTTTTTGGAGATTGTAATAGAACAAAAGTGATATTACAAAGAAAATTTTTTTATTGTATTTCAAATGAATTTTTATACTATTAACATTCTTATAACCACCAACTCTCTCCGTAACTATATACTACTATATATATATATTATCTTAATTTTGAATTTAGAACTGTATCTTTGAAAATGAGGAAGAGTAGTGATTTGAAAACAACATGTTTTATTATATTTTACATAAATTCAGAAATTTTGAAAGCAATATGTCGATCACCAAAAAAAAAAAAAATTACATGACCAATTATTAAAATGTGCACACCTCCAAAGAGAGACCAATCAAAGAACAAAATATTTAAAAATTAATAAATATTTTTTCACAATTATTTCTAGGATAACATTTATTTATATATTATTTCCCATTATCCTTTCACATTCTAAATTTCTTTATTATTATTAAATTATTAAAATCAATAAAGAAAAAAAATATATTTGCTGCAAGAATTCATATTACATGGTTACGAGTTAAATTAAGTGATGTAAATTTAACCAAAGGAACAAAGAGATGTAATTATTCCTTATCCTCTCTTTCTCAATATTTCTTATTATCTGTTATTTTAGATTTAATATTCCAGTAATCTAAAATTTAAAAAATCATTATTATCAATATATCTATATACATATTTGCCAAATAATTAAAATAAAATAAAAAAGTTTCCAATACTTCAAATCTCTTTTGTATCAAGAAGCTTCTATAACTAATTCAACTGGCAATAGAATTAAATATCCTTAATATCATGAATAAAGAATTCTGAAATAAGAATTTCTTCCAGTAATTCACTGCTTTAAATCGTTAAAAACTAAGGTATTCTTTGAAATTGTATGTATAATATTGTGTCATTAAATATATAGTCGATCATTAAAATCCAAAGCAGAAACTTTCAAACAACCATCCTTTTCCATTCTCTTATAAAACAATAGTTTAAACTTTGCATGGAAATAAAGAATATCTCAAAAAACGTTTGCGCAAAATAATCGTAACTCTTACTAAAAAAGAAACAACAATTACATTTGTGGATAAAATTTTTTACGTTGAATTTTAATAGTAAAAATCGAGATGTTACACATAAATTTTACATAGTTATTGCAGTCACTATATTGATCATGTGACATATTGTGTGGCTTTTATAAAAATAAATAAATGCTGCTAAATGATAATAATAAATGATGGTCAATTTTTTCTCTATTTGTTGTCTTTGTGCACTTTCTATGATCTATGTTTTACCAAATTTTTTAAAATGGTGCTATATTAATATTCAACTACTAATGCTTTAACTGATGGTATGTGATTCGACTTGTAATGCCTTTTGTTTAAAGAAATATGTTTGAATTGATATTGATAAAAATATGTAATGTGACTGTAATTTGACTTAAATCGTTAAAAGTTTACCGACTTTTCATGTTCCTGAATATTTTTCTGTAATAGTAACACGGTAAAAAAATTTACGGAATTCCATAATCCCTGAATATAAATATTTTTTTCTATAGCCATAGTAACACAGCAAAAAATTTACGGAATTCCATAATTCCTGAATATTTTTTTCTATGGCTATAGTGACCCTGGCAAAATCGCGAAAAAATTATATGGCTTCTCACAATCTTGAATATTTTTTCAATGGTCATAGTGGGGTTTGGTACAAAATCTCAAAGATTAAAATCCCGAAGGGTCATAATCCTGAAGTCATAATCCCAAATGACCATAATCCCGAAGGGTCAAAATCTCGAATAATCATAATCCAGAATGATCATAATCCCGAATATTATTGCTGCGTCCATAAAGTATGCAGATCATTTTAAGAATTTTTAAGCATTACGTTTAACAATTTTAAGAGTTTTATCACGAGTTTTAATGAAGTTTCTTGAGTCTATTAAATTTTCTCTTAAACTTCACAACGCAAAAAAATTTATTTACTCATCCTTTTTATAAAATACTTTTGCCAAATATTAATTTCATATATTCTAAATAATAAAAATGTATGAAAATTGTGAAATCGTAGAAATCGTACCTTCTCAAAAAGGAAATAATAAAATAAAAGTTCATGGCTTTTTAATGACAAAAGAGCGAACTTTGAAAAATACCTATTATTGGTGTTGTGAAAAAAAAAAGTCAGAGAAATGCAAAGATCGTGCAATAACAATTCTTAATGATGGTTTACACTACCTTCAAAAATATTCCAATCATACCCATGCTCCTTAAGCTAGTAGTGGTAATATTGCTAAAACTATTGCTGATATTAAACAACAAGCTTTAGCAACAAGAGATCAACCTATTCAAATTATTC